TTCAGGCTATCTTCTACCTTATCACTAGAATACCGTTAGGTTGAGTGTTTTCCCATCTTCAACCTCTTCTTTCAAACTGTAAGCCAGCATAAACTTAAACACAGCCTCAGCTGTGCAGGAGAAATGATCTGGAGAAGGATGACAAGGAGTGAAAAAGTTTCAATTGACACATATTAACAGCCACACTTCAAGGCATGATTTAGTACTTGAGTTTCAATTTAAGACACGGAGCTCATCCATCTTCTTCTGTAAGGATATATGGTATTTCTAAAAATATAATTCCCGATGAAGCTAGCTGGAGAGTATGTCCTGAGTTCAGCCACAGATGTAAAGACTTAATATTGGTTTTTGAACATGACAGACGCCTTTTCTTTTTCAAAAATATGGTAACCAGATGTGGCAATAATCACTCCAAATCCAGTCATAGAAGTGCATAATTCAATCCTAATTTGAAGTCCAGCAAATTTATCTAAAAAACAAGCTATGAATCAATAAGTATACCAGTGGATTACAAGCTGTTTATTTGTACCTGTAAATTAAGTTACAGCTATAATAATTGGAGATGGATCCAAGAACTGGGCTAGAACCACTGGTGAAAGAAATGTTCTCTAGAAAACAAGACACTGTTCAGCTTCCCTTGGGAACAGTGATTAATTGAAATTCACAATAAAGGGATGTGAAAAAAACTAACAACATATAAGCAAAAACCACCATAAACACCACCCTGTAAAGAAATCTGGCTAGCTCCAAACCCTGCTGCTGATAATTCAAAAAAAATGTAGCCATTAATTTAAAACAAGTATCTTTGATGAGTTTTCTGAATTTTTCTTGTCAGTTTTCTAAACACTATTCTTAAAAATGACTACTATTTAAAACACCATTAGGTTTAGAACAATCTTAATATATACATTTATATTTTCATATGAAGAGCTTCAGAATTAAAAAACACAGAGAATCACGTTAGGAGGGTTCATATGGGGAGGGTAGCATTCATATCATCTAAACAGGTTGTTTTCCTTCTCAAAGTGGCCCATTCTGTTTGCAATGACTTAAAAATTCAGAATAAAGTCCCAGCAAAAAAATCACTGCACTTAAATTTAAAAATGATCTTTTTACCTAAAATTTAGTACTCCAGCAAAAGCTTCTTTCACTTAATTCAGTTGATGAAATATTTCTATAATACAAACACAGACAGATGCAAAATCAGTTCATGCAGATTATGTTAAAAACATAGCTGAATTATTAATATCACAGCATTTGATCAGCTACTTCATCACATTTTTCAGAGCAACAAAGTCTTCCCTTACACCTGCAGAAACAGGCAGCTGCACAAGGTGTCTCCTTGCACTGAAATTACTTTCCAGCTGCTTTGTCAACAAAGTGGCTCCCCCTAGGAAAGTCTTTCTTGCCCTTGAATAAGTTGAAAGATTCGTTCTGCTCCATAAATATGATCGATGTGTAGTACGACAGATTTGCTGCATCTCAATCTTTTTCTAATCTCTTCCCACAGTATCATCAATACCCTCTGTTGCAAGAAATTTCTAGAACAATTGTATGAAGCTGGGAACACTAAGGACTGCCCCTTTGCTCTCCAGCAACCTAGTGGATGCTCCTTGGCATCTTCAAGGAAGCTGTCTGAGGAATAAGCGCAGCAGGTGTCAGTGACTAGCCTAGGGATCTCTGCACAAGCTGCTCAGGAAGAGGCAACAACAGATGCCAACTTTATTAAGGCCTTCAGACAACACAGCAATAAGGACAGCTATGTAATTGTCAGGCACTGGGGGAGGAAAAAATCACAGAATTCCCATTGCCTTTCCTAGTCCTGTGCTTCCTGGATTAACTGAGCTTCCTCCATTGAAACCAGTGTTTGTCAGTGAATTCATTGCTTCTCATTCACAGCAGGAGCTGTTGCACTGTCTGGAATCAATCAGCATAAAAATGCTCTTTTTCCTATTGTGGACTCCTTGTTACAGTTACTGTTGTGATTGATACCTTTTGAAGGTCAACCAAAGCATATAAATGTGATTCTGTGGGTATATTGGGTGCAGTTGAAATGCTCTAAGAAGCCTTTTAATTACTGCCATTAGAGTAGGACAGACAGTGAAAAATATCTAGTGTGAAACAGAGTTTTGAAGAGAATCTGAGGAGGATGTTGAAAACCAAATTATCCAACAGAACTCCAGCTACCTCAACACAATCAAACCTCAAAGATTTCCACATTGTGAATTATGTTGGAAGATATCATGCGGAATTGAACTACAGAACTTCATAGACAAATCCTTTTCTACTTCTTTCTTTTCTTATTTATTTATTTAAATTTCTTGGACCATTCCAAAGGATCTTCGGGTTCCAAAAGAAACAAATTTAAATTGCTACTTACTAACAAAACCAAGGAACTTTCAAAGGCACCTTTCAGAGAGTTTTTCTTCGTACTCATCTTCTTCGTGCAGGTGTTCTCTGTTGAGAAGGACATGTAACTGCTTGGCTAGAAATCAAAACAAGAACTCTGACACTGAAAGACATCCCTTTTGAATATTCTCTGTGTTCTATGCTCTACTGCAAGCAAACTAAACAATATCAAAATGTGTGTGTTCTTTTTAATATAACAGGCTGATCTATGTGAACTATGTCTAATTTTTAAGGCCATGCTAATATAAGCATTGAAGTCAGAGAGGAGCTCTTAAAAGAAAAAGAAAATAAAAAGAAAGAAAAGGCTGGCACCTTTTCTGAACAGAGGTCATAAAATAATTATAGACTTAAAATGAAACCATTCATTTTTCAGTAGTAAATCAAAACAGATAGGTAGATATTTTCCCAGACAATTGTACAACAAGACTAATGAAGTCTGACAGGATGAATGGTAACCATGGCTCTATGTTTGGCAGTGCGGTGTTTGAGTTTACCCAGTCAGAAGCTGAGACAGGAGCAGTTCTGAAAAGGGACAGCCAGAATTCCAGACATATAAAACCTGACAGATCTAAGTTTCTAAATTAAAATGGAAGGGCAAGAGATTGTTTAATTTCCTTCAGCAGGCTGTGTCATATCTGTACTGAAGTAATGTGCAATACAAATTTCTGATTCTTTTTTTAGCTTATGTACGTAATGTCATTTACTAATAGATTATAATAGATTAATAACATATGGAAGAAAATCTTCTGGAAGAAACTTTGAAGGCCAACCTTCAGCTGTCAGCTGTTGTGCATGTTTTTCAGTCCTTAGATCTTGTTGGAAAGGAAACCTCTTCAATTTATTTCAAACTATGTCCCAAAAACAATAGCCACATCTCAGGAAGTGCCAAGCTCTTTGCTGGTGACCCTACGCCATTTTTTTATTCTCATATACATTTCATTTTGACTGACAGACAAAGAGGAAAACCAGAGTATCTGTATGTAGTTCAGAAAGGAGAAACAAGTCTCCCATATGTTTGGATTTATGTGATCATAAACTGTCACTTTAGTTTGTTAGCTCTGAACACCAATTTTAGGTATTATTAGCAATGAGTTGACCAGCCTGATGATAATGACTTCTTCATTAAGTAGTGCGTCTTAGTACTGGTAATAATAATTATAACAACAATCATAGTAATGCAATTGTCAGAAAAATGGGTAATTTGTGAATTAATATCTTGGTAAACTTTGCTCTTTTGATTCTCCATTAGATGACAAGTAATGGCCTTGAACTTGTAATTGTACATTTGTTCTGAATCATTAACACCTGATCTCACTAGTCATAATGATTTTATTGACAGTATCCAAATCACAAAATCGATTTTGCTTCTATTAGGTAAAGAGTTCATTTAATTAAAGTCAGCATTTAATAAGAGGGAAACATTAACATATTATGTGTTAACACATAATGTGTTATCTGTTTTACAATTACAGCATACATTCATCTGTACTCTTTCCTGTGGCTTAAAAAAAAAATTACACGACCAGCACTGCAAGGTTTATATTTGTGCTTGCTTCACTTTGTCATTTGGATATTTGTATATATTAATAGAAAATAGCATTTGCGTGAGGAACAACTATAGATATAAATCACAAAGAGAATGCACCTCTGAGAACATAACAGAGTGATGAGGATTCAGCAAAGCATAGTTGTCTAATTGCTTCATTTACATAGACACAGATGTTCACAACGAAGCATCAATTGTACTGGAAACTCTAACTTCTCTGTGAATGCAGTTAGAGTTAGATGAAGGTAGGCTAAAAGTGTACTCTGAAAGCAGCTACCAAATGCAAATGAGCTACAAAGCAGTTTCTATATTGTCTCATGTACCTAAAAAAAAAAAGTAGCCCAACTAAGAAAAAGAGAGGACGGAGTCTGAATAAAACATGCTCTACAAGATTCTCATTAGAAATAAAATATCACTGAAGATGATTAAAATTCTGTTCAGTGAAAGAACAGCTGCAGTTCCACCTAAAGCTGACAGCAATGCCCATGTCTGGTATCAGCCGCTGGTTTCCCCACTGATTATAGCAATATCCCCTTATAATGCTCCCTGGACTCATGCCACTCCCAGCTGCCACGTTTCTGGCCACGTGCCCCTCATCCCAGTAGCAGCTTCATCTGAAGCCTGGCATGTCATGGAGGTGTCCAGTGACTGCACTTCACTAAAGAAAAACAAGCCAGGAAATTAGAAGCTATAGATGGTATAGACAGTGGGGAAAAATGTATAGTAAAAGCAGTAATTTCCAGGGAAGTGCAGGAGGCTAAAAAGCAGCAGTCTGGGTGTATCTCCTCACCTGTTGCTAGGAGACGTAGGTCATGACCTGCTATAGAAACTTTTAAAAATGCTTCAGTTAATACATCTGTATTTTATCCCACTTAGAAACAGCAAACTGTCATGTAGCTTCTCCTCTACACTGTTTCTAAGGAGAGAGCAAATCAGACACTACACATGACAGGATTTGCAAGACACAATATATAAGAGATTTAGAGTCCCTGGAAAATGATAGGCATCTGGTGTTAAATCATCTGTCATTTTCCTCTCCACCTAGCCAAATGGCCTTCTTCAAAACAACAGTAATCCCACCTATTACCCATCTTCTTCTGATGTGACCTGCACCTCCGCATGCTGCCCAGTGATGCACTTGATGGCTCACTATGATGAGAATGAGTAGAAACTCCAATATGATAAGTTCCGAGGATGGAAAACTCATGCACAGTTGTCAGATCCTTAAAAAAGAAAAAGCAAAAAGTCTTGTTAATAGTTAAACTTGACTCACTCATATCTTGCCAATATCTTTAAATCCATTGCAATGACATGGTAATTCTGTTGTGATCCAGAAAAAAAAAATAATTGTAATGATCATTAGATGTATAAAAATAATTATAATTAATAAACTAAATAAATAAATAAACTAACTAAATAATTAGATGTAAAAAAATAATTGTAATGATCAATAGAGATTTCAGTTAAAGAAAATGGTATTTCAGAAAACAGTCCACTTCCACTTTGGTATCTGCATATAATGGCTGATATCCCTACTACGTGATGAGAGATATGGGTAGAAAAATAACAGAGACAGTTATCCTAGATACCTGAGCTCCAGTAAGAGCACTGACCAGCCAGTATGGGGCTGCTCTTGATTGTGCATCAGATAGTACTGCCTAAATTTGTTATGGGTCTGACTGGCTCACTACTGATCTATGCAGATAACTTGCATAGATTTCTTTGTTCAGCTTTGGGTAGAAGGTACAGGTGCCACTATGCATTAATTGCCCACAGACTTCAAAACAAAAAGTTTTAAGATATGCTAACGTAGATTCTTAGTTCCTGCAAATGCAGCTCATGGGGGTTTTCAGCTGACAGGCAATACTTGTTCTACTGTTTTTTAATAAAACTGCAAGTGTGAAAGACACAATGTGCAAAAGGCTGTGCTAGGTCCAACACCCACCTACATTCTTCTGCTTTATCATATTGATCTTTGCCACTGTTTGTGGGAGTCAGCAGCGTCCATGCATCTTGTGCCTGGTTCTATGGGATATAAATCGTCCCAGAGAACTTCTGCAAGACAGGAGCATGTGGGTACTGAATATGGCTAAATTACTTCCATACCACTGATCTTTCTAATAGTATCTTGAGTGAGAACTCTGGACTTCCTTGTCTGTTGGTAGACCAGACTGCAGTGTTAAATAAAAACCAAATTCTACTAAGCATCTGATCTCTTTTTAATTCCAGATTTGCAGTTCTAGGAATGGCCATCAAGAGAAAAACAAAACAAACAACAACAACAACAAAACCACAGGACTAAATAAGGAAAGAAAGCAAGAGGCAGAGGGTTAATATATCACATATAAATAATACAGAAGTAAATGTTGCATAATGATGGATTAAGATTGAGTAGTGGCTATCTCTAAGTAAGAATAACATAGGTGCATCTAAGAAACACGTTTAATATAGTATGTTACATACTACACCATGAATGGGATACATACAATTCTTTTTTTGCAACCCTTGGCTTAATAATAGTGGTAGACAGGGATTTTGTGCATAGCATTTTACAATGAGATGTCATATAACTTAAAAGTAATGTGATTCCTTCTGAATTTTGTGCAATGAGCCTTGCTCTGAGAACAGTTGGGAAAACTGTTTCAGCACACAATGTTCACCATATATTATCCACAGCCTATGAAGTCAACTTGCACTTTTGCACACATCCTCTTAGCGTCATCTTAGACTGACCACCATAAAAAGTAAGTTTTTAAGGTGATAATCTCTCAGGCCTCAACAGACAACAGAGCCTTTGTAGAGAGCTTTAGGCACCAGCCCCAGAACTGCAGTTAACTCAGAAAAACTGCAAGAAAAGAAAGGAAGACAAAGGCACGACAAGGAAATAAGCTGTGGATGTTGAATTCTGCATCTGAATTGCATAGTGAGTATAGATTCCACCAGATTACAACAAGAGTCAATCTGGAGCACTTTGTTTTCTTTGAAATCTTCTGTAATATTCCGTCCAAGTATGGTATGATCCTTGCCAGCTGAAAACAAATGCACACAGTTCCCTCCAATTGCAGTTGTGTCACATGTAGGAGAATAAGGGAGACATAATGTATTCTATTACCTCAAAGACTATGACAGTTCAATTTAAAACAAATTGAAAGGCTCTCAGTGACTTCAGTCTTGACCAGCCTGATTCCAGTTCTTTCTCCTTTTGGTGCTGCATCTAGTGTCTCTCACTTGTGATTTCTACCACACCTCAACTAGGGGTGAGCAAGGGTACATTTACCACTGCTTTTTCAATCACAGATTGGAAAGCAGCACAGCCTGTGAAATGCATGCTCTGGAAAGCACAGAAAAAAATGTGACTGTTTACAGCGTATTTATCATTCCTTGTGACCTAATGATAGCTTCACGTGTGCTCGACAAGCAGCAATGGAAGGGATGCCTAAAATGGTTTAGTGAGGAAACAGTTTACTGAAGAAATATCCCTGTTACTCATCATCCACAAAAAAGGATGCAGGTTGTATTTGATCCCTATTATTTGGTCTTAACAATATGAGATAGGTAAGTAAGAAACAAAAGTTGGTCTGTCACAATGAGGTATACTTTTTAACTACCAGTTGGCACATAGCATACGTCTGAATCGTTTGATAAGTGCACCATTCCAAATAGCCCAGATCTCAATGCATCCCTAGCCAAACTGTCATGACTTCCATCTGCTCTATGTGGCTGTTTTCCTTCCCCCCAAGAAATGAGGAACTGAGGAAGGGAGAAGCATATGTATACAGATCTGACCCCCAAAATGATGGTGGCATTGGGCTACACAACTCAATCTGTGATCTTGGAAGTACTTCCAGGTGCTGCTTATTAAACATACCAAAGAGTACTCTGGCAGAAAGCCTAGATTTCACGGTATGGAAAAACTGTAATAAGCTGTTGACGATGCATATATGGAGATTGGATATACAAAATATTCTAAAACTTCTTTAACTCAGCTTCTTCCAGTGCATTGGACATCCCATGCATTTTTTCTTAATTGTTCCCTCAAAACAAATAATTGTTAAATCCATACATATTTTGCATGCATCCTCACAGGGGAGGAGTAGAACAAGCCCATACACAGCATTTTCAGGTTGAAAGGATCCGACAAGCATCAACTAATTATGCTACTTAGAATAAAAAGAAGAGAGACTCATCTGCATAGCTATAGAAGAGCTAGTCTCCCCTTTCAATTGAATAGCATATAGGCAATACAGACGAGAGTCTAGAGCACTATTCATCTCATCTCAAAGCAGCCACCTAAAGTAAATGAGATGCATGTAACCAAAAAAACACCATCTTCTCCCTGTTGGCTGCAAAGACAGTTTACTCTGTCTGCCTTAACCAAAGGAGAATATGGATAACCAAACCTGACTGGGCTAAACTACTTTCAATAACATCACTGTATCAGTTATATTCAGTTCAATTATATCCAGCAATTAAAGCAATGGTTTCAAGATTTGAAGAAGAAATAGGAAAGCAGAAGGAATTTTCCTATGTAAGATAGGACACTTTAGTATTTGTAAGCAATATCCTTCTGTGGTTTTCCACAAATGGACTGAATATTTGCTGTTCTTACTATGATCGCTAGTTTCTAGAAAAGAAAACCTATTTATTTAATTCTGCAAGGTTTCTGGTTCATGTTACAAATGTTAGCCCTAATCTCTTCAGACTGAAATGCTGGTAACACCAACTATTTTAACTGTCTGTAAAAGGCAATCTATAAGACAGCATATAGAGTAAATACTAAGTCACAGCTTGAAACAGTGATGGAGCACCTGGTGGAAAGGCAGGGCCAACCTAGGGAAGCTCAGGTGCATGCAATGTATCTAAGCGAGCAAAAGGGTGGAGCGAGGATCCATCATTCCAGATCTCAGTTATGTTTGGCAGGGAAGGCAGGGATATTTTGCTGGAGGTCCGTCCCTACTTGAGGTTTTCTAAAGGTAAGCAAATTTTCTTTCTTTGTTTTTATATCTATGGTTGCTGTATTTGGGTTTGTTCTTATTTGCTGCAGCCTAGAACTTTATTGACCTGCTATTATTGCTGTACTTCTTATCACATTACAGCATTACACAGCAATGTGATAGTTAAAACTGATTGTCCTTATATCCCTTCAAACTATGTTGTCTTAATTATTGTATTTTGTGCAATATCCTGCATGTTCACTTCTACAAACAATCATTTATTTGTTACAAAAAAATCCTACTTAAAGAGTCATGAAGAAAAAGCTGATGTATAAATTAGTTGTACTTCCTTGTGGCCTGTCTCCTGAAGACGTACATGGCCAATTTGTTTATAAAAGTCACAGATGCATCTTTAATGCATTAGGCTTGTAGTTAAACTTTTGGTCTGTCTTTTCCATTCTTCTACATAACAAATACAGTAGTCATGTTCAGCCAGAGCAGAATCAGACGTTTTTTTTTTAATGGTGATAATGTGTAGGAAACAAAATTTCTAAGGATCGCTGAAGGAATCTTTTATTTTTTTACAGTTACTTTTTAAGAGATAGTGTGCCCTAAGAAGATAAAGTAGTCCTATCTGCTTAGGAGCTCTGTACTCGATGTACCATGGTTTCTTTCACGTTATTCTTGATCTTCTCGATTTTTCTTTACTCTTTTAGGAACTTTATCTAGAAAGTTACAAGAAACAGAAAAATAAATAATTGCATATATTTGCCAGGTGTAGAAGATAGATGCATACAGTACATACATTGGGCTACTACTTCATCATGTTATGTTATGATGGAGAACTCCAATCACGATGATCCAAGTGCAGAAAGCATAACAGGAGAGTGAAAATGGAGAGGGGTACAGCAACAACAAAAGCCCTAAACAAACCGAAAAAAAAGCCACAGCCAAGAGAAAGCCAATGCTCCATAACAATTCACTTGCTGACGAGTCAGTGAAGGCTGTTTGAGCTAAGGTTGTAGTCAGTGCCACAACAAGCAGCAGCACTAGCCATCTGGGAGCCTGAGGCTTGGCAAGATGGTTGCAAGTACAAACCCACCCCCTCATCTGAGGGAAAAGGGCAGCAAAGCATCTCAGTTACAAATCTCACCAAGTTCTGAAGACTATATTGATTTTTGTTCAGCCTTTGAGTT